GATGGCGGCATTTATGAAAAATTAAATTGGAGTAAGCTACTTTGCCATGTACAGAATCAGTCAACAGTCTACTGACTTTTCTTTTTTTTTTCTTTTTTTTTTTTACAATGACTTATTTTCCTCCCCTCCTCCTTTTTTTCTTTTTCAAGTTTTGTTGTTCATTTCTTTTCCTACTTCATAGATGAACCTAAAGGTCAGGAGGAAAAAGGTGAGAAGGTAACTGAAATAGTTCTTTCTGCTCTTGTTTTTCAGAAAGAACCATCGAACACTTCACTTCTGAATGTGCAGATCTGTTGAATTGCTGAACTACCCTTAGGAGAGTGAGGGAGGGTGGACACACAACCTAGGGGACAATGTTCAGGAAGGTGTGTACAAAGGGGAGACATTTTTGAAAAAAAAAAATTCCGTTCTGAGCATAGTGCCTGGCTTTCAGGTACTAACGATTTCCGAGATGGATGTACTTAAAAAAATATATATATGGTATAATTAATTGAGTTCTTAGGAAGTTCCAAGTTTAGGGGTTAAACTATATATATCACCTCATTATATAGTTCTATGGTCTGATAATATAGGTAGAATTTTAGTCCTGTTTTATAGACAAGGACATGAAAGTTTAGAAGGCTTATGAACTTCTGAAAGTTTTTATCATTCTTAAACAAGACAATTAAGTTTCCGAATTCAAATCTCCATTCTGAAACTAGACTAATATTTTAGCCATTTTTTGTACAGATATTGAAATCACTTGATTCTTATAAAATGCACAATTAGAGATAGAATGAAATGTGACTTAGAAATTATTTTAGTTGTGGATAGGAACCGAGGTAACTTAAACAATTGAAAGCATTGGATTCAATATTCAGAGAAAAGATTTGATTCCTCTAATTTTGTTAGATCAGGAAAGTCAATTAAAATTAGTCTTCATTTATTTTTTGGCTGTATTATTTGCTATTTGGATACACTCAATAAGTTACTCTTGTAAATGAAGCTCTAAAATATTAAAGAAATTTATCATGATTCCAAAAATTAGCAACTGATATGATTCAAAGAAAAAGCACAAATTAACTTGTTCTTTTAAATATAGATGCAAGTCACATGGTTCAGATTCTATATAAATAGTAGAAAATATGACTTTCATAGTTTCAGTGTTTAACAGTCATGTGTTGAATTACAGCATCTAAACTTTACAAAATGCATATTTTGAGCCTTAATTTAAAATGTACACTTTTATTAATTGAGTGTATTTAACAACTCAGTTGTCTACTTTCATAAAAGTAGTTATGTTAACACCTTTAACTAGGAAAACTAATATAAAAGACATATCCTTATAAAATTATGAGAAAATATTACTACTTCTCGACATTTTTTTTTTTGTGGCAGGTGACTGAAGGAAGGGAATCGTAATCCTATTCAGTTATTTGTGTAGAACTTTTCCAGATTCTCAATAAATAATAATTCTCTATAAATAATAGATTTTGTTTTAATTTGGCAGAGAAAAATAGGTCTTTGTCATGTGAAATTATAATACCAATTTATTATCCAGGTCCATTAAAATATATTTTATTATGAAATAATACTTGTTCAAAGTAAAAAATTTAAAAGATATGAAAAACAAAGTGTTATTAAAATGTGCATACTTTTTACAACTACAGGTAGGCATTGCTTATATTTAGTTTATTTTTTACTTGTGCTTTTTTGATGTGTTAGCTGTGAAAATGAAAAATACACATTCATAGTCAAAAAATACAAATGCACCTGTGTAACATGGACAACCTTGTTTCTCAAAATTGAAACAATTTTGGGTATAAAACTTTAGTTTCTGTTGTCTTTAACTTTACATTATTTTCTATCCATGTCCACTAGCCTATAAATATTGATACTGTATCATTTAACAAAAATTATCTAAACATTCCCATATTGATAAATATATGTAGCTTTCTCTTATAATAAAAAACAGAAGTGCACAAATGCATACATATATTTTACCTATTTTTCAGACTCTTTCATAGTTCTAGAGATGAAAATGTTGGGTGTAAGGCTATAAAATGCTTTTAAGGTTCTTTTTATATACATATATATGCCACATTACTTTCTCATTTTTATTTCCACCAATAGCTTATTCAACTGCTTGTCATAATGTACACACTCAGCAATCTTTAATATTTGCTTTCAAAATCTTAATTTGGTGCAAAAACTGGTATCCTAGTAATGCTTTAATTCCTTCCCCTTTGATTGCTAGTAAGGCTGAACACTTGTTCATGTCTGTATTTTTCTGCTTGTTTGGTGCATCGACTGTTCCTGCTCCTCTTGGAAAAAATTTGTTGAAATGATTGTACAAGCAGCATCAAGACAACAGGGTTGCCATATAACTACCCATCAGTTACAGGCTGGATTAGCCTTTCTTGTTAAGACTATGAATAATGCACAAAAGAATTCTGCAAGAGAAAATAAAAAGTACCTGGAGGGTAGAAAACTGATGCTAATCATAGTATTGTTTTTCATGAAAATAAGGAGTGCTTTGAAGTATTTTTTCTACTTCCCTTCTATTCCCTTGGCTAAATTTTGTTTTCATAATGTTTATTCAGATAACCTTGGTATTTTCTGTGAGTATCGAGTCTTGATACTTCTCTAAAGCCACTCCCCTTTGGATTCATGTTTTGTAGGTTGATTTATCTTTGTCAAAAATTATTTTATAGAATAACACACTGTCTATAAATCCATTTCTTAAGGCAGTGCTGTTGCTTTAGGAAAGTGTGTTTCACGTGATTATCTATCTATCTATCTATCTATCTATCTATCTATCTATCTATCTATCTATCTATGATGGATAGCTATATGATCTTAGAAGTACTATGAAATCCTTAGAGTATTTTCTAGTGGTGTAGCAACTAGCAAGAACTTTGAAAAGTAATCCTGACCAGGCCTTACCTCATAGTGGACTTTCACAACTTTTCAATGATCAATACTTTGTATTTAGACATAAAAGAGAAATGGGCACATTTCTATTCTTTTCCTTTATTAAATTTTTATATACATAAATAAAATTTATATACACATAAAATTCATGTTTTATATATACATAAAATGTATATATAAAATATATAATGTGCATATAATATATATATATAAATATGCATTTCCCATAATATCATCTATATCAGAGTATATATAATCCAAATTCTATGTATGTGTATTTTCCATGGTGTAATTGAACCTCTGTTTAGTAGAAAATGTATAAAAAGTTAAAAAAAAAAAGAGGACTATGTGAGTTATGTTAAGTGGACAATTGGGAATTATTTCTTATATTACTGGTCATTTCTATTTACTTTTGCCAATGATATTTGAAATTTTATATGTCAACCTGACTGGGTAAGAGATGCCCTGAGAGCTGGCAAACCAGTGTTTATGGAAGAGTCTATGAGGGTGCTTCAGGAAGAGGTTATGCCCTTGAATATGCAGGCTGAGTAAAGATCCACCCTCATCAATGTGGTGGGCCTTGTCCTGTTCCCCATAGGCCTGTGTAGAACAAAAAGTTTGAAGGAAGGGGGATTCATGCTTGCCCTCTGTCTTCCTTCTCTCCCTTGCAAAGGAAGTTCTGATCCTCAGGTGTTTAGACCCAGGACTTATATACCCCCTGCCCACTCCCACCACAGGATTGTGGGCTAGACCTGGGAGTTTCAGCATGACTTCCATGGTTCTCAGGCCTTTGGACTCAGACTTAACAACACAACTGACTTTTCTTGATCTCCTCCCTGGAGACAAACTCATCAAGGGACTTCCTGACTTTATAATCACATGAGCTGTTATGATTCAGTGAAGTGACCCCTAAAACCTCAAGGTTGACACAATGCAAGAAGGCTTAGAGGTGAAATGATTGGATTATGAGAGCCTTAACCCAATCAGTGCATTAGACCCTGATAGGGATTAACCGAGTGGTAACTGAAGGCCGCTAGGGTGTGGCTAGTGAGGTGGGTTTCTGAGGGTGTTCCTCTGGGGTATAGATTTTGTATTTCTTGAGAAGAGCTCTCTCTCTCTCTCTGCTTCCTGGTCCCATGTTTCCAGCTGCTTTCCTCCTCCACATCGTTCTGTCTTGATGAACTGCCTCAGCTCAGGCCACGAGGAATGAACTTGGCCATCTATAGACTGACACCTCTGAAACTATGAGCCCCAAATAAACTCTTCCTCCTTAAGATTGCCCTTGTCAGGTCTTCTGGTTACAGCGGTGAAAAACCCAACTAAAACATGAACCAATTGGGATTTATATTTATAAACATGTATATGAGTGTGTGTGTGTGTGTGTGTGTGTGTATATATATATATATATATATATATATATATATATATATATATATAGTATTTTTGCAGATTCTCCAAAAATAACTAAAAATTTCCAGAATCTTAGTACTCTATCAACTTGGCACCTTGGATTTGGGTAAATATTCCTAAACTGACTTTCTAATACATGCTGCAAGAGGCGAAACTTGGTAGAGGTTTGATTTGATTTAGATTGAAATGTTCAAATAATTTGTTTCTTTAAGACTGAAGATTATTTCCTAAAAAAAAAAAAAGAAAAAAAGTAGATATATCATGAGGTGGAGGTAAAGTGATTTTTCTCCCTCAAGGGTTAGGAAATTAGATCTCTGTAGTGTGCACATAGAGATAACTATTAACTCTATAAGAATAGGTGACAACACTTCTCAAAACATTGTGGCTATTAGCTGTGACATGAAGCCAAGTAGATCAATCTCTGCCTAAGTGGGAATTAGTTTAGCTTCTTTTCATATCTTATAATAAGTTATAAAACATTGTTTTTAGAGCCTTAACTCTCCTTTCTTATTTTAATATCAACATCACTTTGTTTTTTCTTCTATTCTCACTGTCACTATTCATTGATATATTTCTTAACAACAGCCTATATTTTTGTATGCATGATAATTAAATAGATAAGTTAATTTGCTTTTAATGATTGTAATTTTCTGGAAAAATTGCTAATTTTTTTTGCCAGTGTATGATCTGTAATATTGAATGGCAAATTCGTTTATGTGTTTCTTTTCCTTTCAGGAAACAAAAATATTTTGTGGCAACAAGGCAGGAATAAAGTACAAGGTAATATTACTGAATCTACCTCCATTGTCCTTACATTACCTTCAAAGTTCAATCACTAAAAGGAAATGAAATCATCACAAATCTTATCCATATTGCCGAGCGAGTTTCCGAGTTTCTTAATTACACATGTAATCCTGTTCTTCCTCCTTTTTTATTTTTTTATTCATGGAGTCCTCAGCTGGGGGAAGATATATGTATGTGTGTGTGTGTGTGTGTGTGTGTGTGTGTGTGTGTGTTTGTGTGTATGTATATATACATATATATGTGTGTGTATATATATAGACAGAGAGAGAGAGAGAGAGAGAGAGAGAAGAAGATAAGGGGAGGGGAAGAAAAGGGAGGGGAGAGGAAAGGACAAGAGAGAGAAAAAGAGAGTGTGTTTGTGAGAGAGAGAGAGGGAGGGAGGGAGAGAAGGAGATGGGAGAGGAGAAGAGAGAAGAGGAGAGGGAGAGAGAGAGAATGTGAGAGGGGGATAGAGTGGGGAGGGAAGGTAAGGAGAGGGAAGGGGAGAGGAGGGGAGAGGAAGAGAGAGAGAGAATGAATTTCGAGAAAGAGGTATTTGGATTTGTCCATTTGGGCATATCTTTTTGTTAGGCAGAGGAATAATTCATTCATTACCGAAGCAAGATCTCAAGGAGCTGGTTTCTGTTAGCTGAAGCTTAAATCATCCAAGGAATATTCTTTGAATGAACAGAGCATTCATGACTGGGTTATTTTGGATCATTTTTTTAAGTCCATTAAGATTAATCCTGAAATAAGAATGCCAGATTTAGCAAATACAGACAGAGGATATCCAATTCATTTAGAATTTCAGACGGAAAACACATCTTTCCCTGTGACATGGTTAAGTTAAAAATGAACTAACTGTTGATCTGAACTTCAAATTTAACTGAACCCTGAATTTATTTTGTGAATTCTATCCTTGAGCACACACAGAGCTGGGGCATTTGAGCCTACATTCCGTTAGCTGGCTTTTGCTCTCTTACTATTGACTCGTAATAAATACATAGCAGATAAGAAACAGGGATCCATTGTACTTCCACTTTTCTCATGTTCCTGAAATAGAAGTGGCTTATGTTTAAAGTTCTAGAGGAGTTTTATCCCCAGATACATACCTGTCATCTATCCATCCATTCCAAGGAAGGAGCCAGTTGGAATATCCCTTCTAATTCTTGGCTCAGCCTGAAAACCAGAAGACTCTGCACATAGTTATCTATAGTGTCAGTCTTCATTTCAATGATATAAAATGTGGATATACTTGGATGACTGTAATGCTTGCTTGTCATTCTTTCATTTAAACTCATTATACTATTTTCTACTTTCAATTAAAAGATACAGTTTATATTTTCTCCCCAATCTTCTATCTCTAGCTTATGTTAAGGGCATAAAAGCTTAGCCAGGCTTTCATCTTCTAAAGAGACTACAAAATCAACTAAGAGAAATTATAATGCTCAAAATGTACTATGCTAAGTGTGTCTTAGTGAAATGTGACCTCATGGTTTCTCTTTTAATTTTCAGGTTCTTGCAGTCATCTTATAATTCTAGGCTTCGGATCATGCTGCATTCTCTGTGGCTCTTTATATCTGTCTTCATACCACTTCTCTTTACTCTTCATGACTATTTCAAGTACCACTTCCTCTAAACCATTTCAGCTGGTTGATGAGGTGTCCATCTATGCTTTCCTCCAAATTGTGACAGCAATTTCTCTTCTGTAGCTAGGTCTGTGAACTCAAGAAGCCATAGTCACTAAGGCTCCAAAGCATCCCCAAGTCACTTTGATATCCTGTGGCCCCTTCTTTACATAATGGTCTATACCACAGTCCTCCACATGAAAGTTTCTCACACATTATCAAGTGAACCACTGTTCACCTTTCCTTGATTCAGATGAGATCTCTCAAGACTAAGGTTCAGTCCATGGCTCAGCATAAGAATCACTGTTATGTGAAGGCTCTTCAAAAGGTCTTTAAGGCTAGTTGAATTAATTTGATCCTCTCTTGGAAATACTATGGCAGAGAAGGTCAGAATAGTTGGTCACAGTAATGCCCAGTCTCTGAAGGGAGATATGGTAAACTCTTATTGCTACTGGGGATCAGACAGAAACTTTAATGAATGGTGCAACTTTGAATGCTATTCAACTACTACTTTCCTTAGCAAAGTCATCCTTGATCCCTAGACTAAGTTAGGCTCACTATTACGTGAACTCATGTTAAGTTTCATTATGTTAAACTGTTTTTAATACAACTTGAATGTCCCTAATTTGAAAATTCAAAGTCTGAATGCACTTCATTTAAAATTTTAAGTTCAAGAATTTGAAGATTTTGGAGCATTTCAGATTTTGACTTTAGAGATCAGGTATGCTCAGCTAGTCAAGTCTATGTAATTATTCCACAATTTTTAAAATTTAAAAATCTGCACTAGTTATGGCTCCAAGAATTTTGGATAAGGGATTGTAATCCGTAGTTCTCTTTCCACAAAACTGCAGAGGCAAGAGGTAGATTTGGTGCACTCAAAAAGATGTATTGCTAAATGAATTCTGAAAGAACTTTTATTTTCACTATGTTCTTTTCCAAACAACTGGCAAATTCCTGCTCCTAAATTCTAATCGAAACATGGTCCCCTCTACTTAGAATGGGTTTAGAAATAGCTGTTGAAATATTGCCACAATTTAAGCCCCATTTCACACTCTGCCTCCCTCCACTCAATTCTTAGCGTCCTAGCCAACCAAGATGCTGTGAATTCAAAATCTTTTGTTATTTATTTAAAAATGTGTGATAGTTTCTTTTTAGTTGTATGCATTATTTCCATAAAAAAAAAACTTCCTGCTCTAAAAAAAAGCAAGTAATTTTTCCTCTAAACTATCACAACTGCTATCACAGACTCTCACTTAACACACATGATTTGTCTGTGGACTAAAAAAATGTGAAAAAAAATATGTGCATGATCTTAGCCTTTACTGATTCTTTGATAAGAGGTAATAGGATTTTAGAGTCTAAAAAGCTGAACAATTTATTGAGTCTAATTTTCTAGTTTTATGTGTTAGGCTAAAAGTTCAAGGAGGTTGTGACTTGTCAAGTTAGAGACAGCTAGGTTATTTTACATAATGACAAGTGTTCTGAAGAAAATACACTGGAGCAGTAAGAGAGAGAATTACTCAGCCAAGCAGGAAAGGTCAACTCTAGCGTGTTGGGATTGCAGAAGCCCTTGAATTGAGAAAAGGGTTTCAGGAAGCACTCACCATTCCTTACTAAGGAAAAGGCTTTTTAGGCAGAGGATGTACAAGCACATGCAAAGACCCTGGAATCCAGGACAGCCTGTCCTGATTAAGGAATGGTGAGAGGACCAGGGAGGCTGAACCATTGCAAGTAAGTCCAAGTAGTTAAAAGTGAGAGAATGACAAAGGAAGGCTTTGTAGACTGTTGCAGGGCTTTGAGAGCTCATTCTAAATACAATGAAAAGCCACTGCGGTTTGTTTTTTGTTTTTCCATATCTAACATGGATGGTTTTATGGAGCTTTCATGATGGCAAACCATATTTGAACCATACATTCTACCCTGGCTCCCAAAACTCATATCATTCTCACATACAAAATACAATAATGTCATGCAGATGGTCCCAGAGTCTCAACTCCTTCCAGCATTCATTCAAAACTCCAAAATACAGAGCCATTGGGTGTTTGCATATCTTCATATATGTTTATACAAATTGGTAATTTGATAGATGTGTATTTGTGTGTGTGTGTGTGTGTGTGTGTGTGTGTGTGTGTGCATCATCTCTTGTATACCAGGAAGTATTTGCAACCATTGCAACTGGAGATTCAGAAGTGATTTAGACAGTGACTCTATAAAATCCATAATATATTGGAAAAATTGTGCGCACACACACACACACACACACACACACTCACGAACACACACATTATATCCCTTTAAGAGAACAGAATCAGTGCCATAGTAAAGAGATTAAACTGTTAACCCTGTGAGCACAGAGGTATTCTGACTTGTTCTTTTTTTGTATTCTCGACCTATAAAACAGTGCCGGGCACCTAGGAGGTGCTCAGTGATATCCAATGAAAGAAGTGGGCAAGGAGGAAATATAGTAAATAGGTAGATCACTAGGTAGGTGTATATTCTGTCCTTTAGAAACAAAATACCTCCACTTATGAGGTCCTTTTCGTTGTCTTCTAGGGCTCATTCTGTGAAATTATACAGAATTTGTCTAATATTCATTTCTGCCTGAATAAATCATTTCCACAGTGACTGAGGAGCTGCATGTACAGAAGCCTGGATTTCCTTCGGTAAGTGTACAAAAAGCTATCGTGATGTCCCAGGTGGGCGATTGCATCCGACAGTCCCCTTATCTAGAGCGTGGGTGACATAAATGGTCCTCACAGGCACCAGGGATTTACTTGACAGCCTTTCTGGAAATGCCAGCTGGCCTGATAAATGTTCCATCGTGGGGAGCATGGGTGATGTCGATAAAGTGGAGGACAATGTAACAAAGTGGGGACACAGTAAATAGTGTCACCAAGAGAACTATCACTGAGGGCAAGGAAGACCTAAAGATTGCAGGGGGTGGGGGGAGGGGGGCAGGCAATCTTGAAATCTGAGAACATGCCCTAAATAAGCAACCAGAGAAAGGAGCTATTTATGCAAATCTTAAATTGTCCTCCTCCAGAAAGCAAATACTGGGAAAGCAGATCCTTTGTGAGAGTCACTATGATTTTTTTTTTTTTTTTTTTTAGGAGTCCAGAAGCATCCTGTCCTTCTCTCTTCTCCAGGAGCAATTTTGGAACAGGGGTGAATGTTTACAGACCCTCAGAACTACAGGAACTTTGAAGATCATCTGTGTCCAAATTGTCCTTCCTCAGCAAGGCAGCTCTGGGTTAGGGATGACAAGCCACTTGCCAAGGTTGCTCTTCTATTTCACAGCCCACCCGGCCAGTAACAGAGTCCAGGTCTCTTGATTCTTTGTCAAGAATGTTTCTTCATAACAGTGCAGTCTCAGCTGCTCTTAGGCACAATGAATGATCCAGAGGGAGCTTGGCCTGATGAGGAGCAAGGGGTGGTCTTGGAGCTCAAATTCTCCCTGAGTTCATTGTTAATAATTGTGCTTGTTGCTCAAATAAAGGGATAAATAACATTCAACAGTTAAGTGAGAAATAAAAAAAAAATCCTTAGATGCCATTCTGATGAGAGTTCTTCACTGGTATCTTTATCATAGATGGCAATTCTAAGCTTTGCTTACCTCATGCAAATCTTAGAAGTTGCATTTTGGTTAATGTATGAGTCTGTTGGAGAGCAGTCTGCCGTGGGATGAGTTCAGACAGACCCGGGTTCCAAACTTGGCTGTGCTCCTTATAAATGATGAGATTTTGCAGAGTAGTTAGCAAACTGTTCGTGCCTCATTCCCTCCAGGGTAAGTCGTAATTGATGGATTTGAAGAATTGTTACTTTAGTGATTTATTATTTTTTTATAAAGTGATAACCGTATGTATACACACATGCACACTTATACACAGGACAACTGATAGAAGATTTAAAAATATTCATTTGTGATCATTATAAAATAAGACAAAACTGGAATTCTAAGTCTGTACCTATTTGAGTGATATATCTTTTTGGTTTACTGATTTTGGTGATTTTTAAATTGAAATTTTGAGTTAAGAAGATTCCCTTCTTTCTGATTCTTTCCCTTGCCAGTTGTTTGAACACCAAACAAGTTATCTAATTAGCTTAAACAATTGTTATTAATTTGTAAAGAGTGGGGGAAGAAATGGGAACTTGGTAACTGTGAGGTCTAAGTTAGTTGGCCATTCAAAGTGTTGTCCCATGCTTGGCTCAGCTTGTGACAAGCATTATTTCTCAGAGGGACCTCCTGGAAACCTTCCTTATGAGTTATTATATGGAAAAAATATATGTGACTTCAAGACTGTTTTGCTATCTAGTTCTGTTGCTTTCTCTCTTCCCCATCACTAATGCTTTCCCATAAGGAGTGTAGTTAATGGAGAATGGGCATCATTTCAGATGGCTCAGAGATGGTAATCAAGTCATAGGACAGACAAAGAACAAATAGGATTACTGGGTGGGATGTGTCACTTGTCACCCTGAAGACAATAGGAGTGCTCTATTCCTCTCCTCTTTCCATAATGAAATGACCCATGCAAAGAAAAAAATACTATTACCTGGCAAACATTATTTCACTATTTCAGATCTAAGTTAAACACAGAGGAAAAGTGGACACCTTTTCCCTTGTTTTCAGAGGAGGAAACAGAGCAGACAGCATTCCACACCAGTTAGAACTAAATATGAGATTGTAAGAATTAGTGTGAGATTATAGTAAAACATTTCTACTGAATCAGCCCAAATCCATAATTTTTCCCTCAACTAAAAAATTTAATGCTAGCTCCATTGGTAGAGTGCTTACCTAGCATGCACAAGGCCCTAGGTTCAATGCCCAGCAACACACACACACACACACACACACACACACACACACACACACACAATTAGTGCTAAATCCAATTAGGTTCCTTAAATAACTAGGAATTTTTAATTCCATGCATGTATCTTCTTTTTGAAGATACTTCATGAGAACTGATCATTCACACACTGAATTTGTGGAATTCTCTCAACCTCAGTTTCATCATGCTTAAAATGAATGTACTTCCAACCTTACAATTCTATGGATTCAGTAGAATTTAAAATTAAACAGCATACTAGTAAGTGCTAAATAAATACCACTTACGTTTCCTCCCTCAGTTCTTGAGAATTCGTGACTGAAATGCCAGCCTTCCTCTTAGGCCAGATTTGTTTTTCTTAAGAGCAGTACACAGACAGCATTCCTTGAAACTGCTTGTCTTGAACTGCTGAGTAATCCCCCTTGGTGACATGGACCATGTCAGCCTTTGACTCACACTATCATGTCTATGATCAGCTATAGCTGTTTAGCCTTTGTTCCACGCATAGCTGTATTTATGATGATCCTTTAATTCTGGACTCCAGGGAAAGACGCCTTCCCCATTAACTATGTCAGCAGAAAGGACATGCAGAATGTTAGTGTCAAAAGGAGCACAAAGAAGTAAAATACTACTTAAGTTCCATCTAAAAGATGAGAAACTAAGCATGGAATCTCCATACTGAAATTTTCAAACACAAAATTTTACCTTATCATATTGATTAAATTTCTAGAGACTACGATTCATACAACAGTATGAACACAGCCCAAACTACAGAAAACCACCTGAAACTGAAATAAGGGCAGTTTAAAACAAAGTAAATGATTGATAAATACTAAATGCTATGCTTAACGAAAGACCTCAGAATCATTAAGCCTGATGGTAAGCAAAACCACAACCTCAACCAAAAAAAGCTATTCTTTAGAAAAATCTGGAGTGTATCTCCTAGAACTTTCATGCTTAATGAGATTTAAAAAAATTTTAAGAAACCCTTTTATTTCTATAGTATATTTGAAATAATAGAAGAGTAACCTGTATCTTTTGAATAATATTAAAATAGGATAATGTCTTGAGTTTAATATCAAAATTTATATTTACATAACATTGGTATCCTAAAATGTCACTTACATAACAACATTTAAACATGATTGCAGTGCTTCAGACAGTGTGGTGCATAGAGTATGCATAATCTGGATTTTCCTGAAGATACCAGCTGTATTACATTAAGTAATAGAGACTCTGCTCTAAATTGTTCCATCTACTGATTGTTTAAATATGTGGCTTTGGAAGATTATCTGAAACTTGTAGAAACTTAGTATTCTTATCTGTAAAATGGAAATAATAATGATCTTATAGACTGACATTCAATCAAATGACGTGATTTAAGGCATTTAACTGACCTGTAAGATATGTACAATACAGTTGGTTTATCTTTTCCTTCCTTTTAAATTCTATTTATATATTCACTTCTTGAGGCCACCAACTGCATGTATTCCATATGCAATGAAATTGGTTACTATTCAAATAAGTGAAGAATTATTAATATATAAAATAATTTGAATGTAGATCACTACAGGAAACACAGCTCTGAAGTAGGTAATAAGAAAGTTTGGAATATTTAAGAAAAATGTTACATTTCAGTACAGTTATCTGGTCTGACTTGGAGGAGAGACCCCAAATCTCTTTCCCATCCATTTGGACATTCTGATTATATTATCTGCAAGTAAAGCTCCACCCAGTAATGAAGCTACAATTGAAGAGGTAAAAAAATTAGCCAGGTTGTTTCTTGCATCATACTGAATGAATTTTGGATAGGTCACGGGTGAACTTCCACTAAAGAGTCACACCTTTCTTCAGCCCCACTAGTTTATTTCTCCACTGATGTCCTCTCTTGATGGACTGGCATCTCAGTTTTATGCTTGTCAATGAATTTCATGCCCTGAGTGAATAGGGTCCATCCATATTAAGGTCCTGCCATATCCCTCCCTTGTGGAAGACTGAATCTTTTCTTTAAATCACCCAAGCATTTAATGGATAGGCAGGGAGTGGCTGGGCATGAAAAATAAAATACCATAAACTGACTTCATACAGTCAAAAAATAATCTGTACCTTTTCAGGGTCATTTCTGGGGATTAATAAAGGATTGGAATGCCTACTACCACCTCTGCGATGCTTAGCAGCTCTCCTTAATTATGAGATGCTTGCTCTAATTTATCTCCATCCTATTAGTGGGGCTTTTGCAAATCTCTGTATGAATTTAAAATACATTTATCTCTGTCTTAACTACCTAACATTTAACAGGGTACAGATTTGTGGAGCTTGGAGAGGTACAGGAAATATCTAGCAGGGTTCAAAGCACTAATGGGAACAGACCAGTTGGAAAGGAGCTGGATTTACGCAGATGTGATCTGCCCTGGGATAAAGGCTTAATCCTAAAAGACTCGAGGGTGGAGAGAAAGGCCAAAATCGTATCCACATTGTAAATTGGTAGACTTGAAAATAGAAATCATCCTATGGAGAAAGGCCAGCCTCTGCCAAACAAGAGTCTGGAAGGGAGTCAGCTCATGTGGGATGAACAGATAAGAAGGGGTGGATCACAGGAGTGATAAGAGGGAGAAGTCTGACTAGGCAGGGCCCACAGATGGAGGAAAATCCAGTTGCATAATCCAAGGTGACAACATCCAGGCAGGCTCTGTGCTCTGTAGGCTGAGTGTCTGAGGAATCTGGAGAGGAGGAGAGTATCCAGTTTACAGATTTATTATAAACAGAGATTGTACAAACTGATTTGTGTCATTACAAGACTCTGATGGTGAATGTTGACTGCTTCTTGTCTTTTGTATGCCTTCCTGCCAGCTCCCCAGTGTCATCGAGCATATATTATTTGAGTACAAAAACTAAGAATCAGGGTAAATCTTGGGAAAATAAGAGAAAAAGATGACTGAGAATTTGTTCATGTGAGAGTACTTGTCTGTGTGACTTAGAATATGCCCTCCCACCCGATTCTGTTAATATGGGAGAATTGCATGAGTTATAACACTAATATAATAAATCTGATTTTTGAAAACAATCATGTCACATTTTCCTCATGTCCAGGGATATTTTATATCTACAACAATAATAGGAATATAATTAATCCAGTACTTTTTTTTCTTGAGAACAATTTCAAAATTCCTTGTGAGCCACTCTTTAAACCTAATGCAAATACACACACATACTACAATTGTTTTGAGTTTATTTTTGAACACTAAATTTCATCATTCAGTTTAAACTCTCCAGTATTTTGCCAGGATTCACTACAGTTGATGTTTACAAGCTTCCAAAAGTTGAATCTACTTTCAGATGAAGATGGTGCCTTTCACTGGTGATAGTTAACATAGAATGAGCTGGGAACATAAGTTGACCTTTTTTTTTTTTTTTTTTTTTTTGTACCAGGGATTAAATTCAGAGGCATTTAAACTCTGAGTCATATCCCTAGCCATTTTATTTAGAGACAGGGTCTCACTGACTTACTTAAGGTCTTTCTAATTTGCTGAGGCTGGCTTTGAATTTGAGCTCCTCCTGCTTCAGCCTCTCAGTCCACTGAGATTAAAGGCATGCGACACTGTGCCCAGTTTTTTTTTTTTTAAGATGAATATAATATTTTTATTTTGTTTTTTTAATTTTTATGTGGTGTTGAGGATCAAACACAGTGCCTCACTGTCAGATGCAAGTGCTCTGCCACTGAGCCACAATCCCAGCCCAAATTGACCATTTTTTTTTTAAATGGTGGGTTATAGGAGATGTGATCCTAAGGACAATGATGTCCACGATACCTGTGGAAATAGACACCACTTCATGTATGACTGTATAAACTTGTCTGTGTTGACACCTTGGTTGCTTACACACTAGAGGACCAACCTGATTCTACTTAAAGAGAATGTGTCAAAATAATAAAAGAATCACTCTCAAGGCAGTTTCCCTGTTGTTTGTCTCATATGACCATATAATTGGTGTGTTAACTTGGGAATTTCTTCATGCTTGTTTGGTTATCAGCTGT